CGAGGTCGTCGTAGTCGCTGTGGATGTCGTCGTCGAGGGCGTCGTCGGAGTTCGCGGTGCGCTTCAACAAGCAGAAGGAGATGCACGAGAAATTCTGCACCCGCGCCGTTTGCGCGGAAGAGCACCTGCCCAGCCTGGGCCCTTGGTGGCGCAGCCCTTTGGCCGCAAAAAGTCGAGGACGTCGTCGTCGTCGTCGTCGTCGTCGTCGTCTTCGTCGTCGTCGTCTCCGTATTCGAGGACGTCGTCCGGTTTCTTGGGGGATGCGGTCTGCCGTGGGACGGAAGGGCGAGCGGTCTGGTGGCGCCGTCGCTGGGCACAACCCTTCTCCAGCCCTGCTCCAGCGGTCAGAGGCAACGTCAGGGGCGGGATAGCCTCAGGGGGCATGCTCCTGCCGCCCTAATCTCCCTCCCCAAACTGAAGGGTGTGTGATTGTGAGTGCTGTGCGTTGTTTGAATTGGGCGTGCGATGCCGTTGCTTCGGCTTCGTTGCCGGTGTCGGTCCCGAGTCTGGGCGCGAGCTCGGCCTCGGGCTTGTGCTCGAGCTGGCGCGGGGTATTCATCGAGCCCCAACCGCCTATTCATCACCGATGGCGGCCCAGGAAGCTCAACCGTGAATTGGGGCGCGTGGATTGGCGACGGGTCGCGCTTCCGTGCAAAATCGGCGCGCTTCGTCTTCAAGTCAGGCGGCATTGGCCTCAGGTTTAGGGGGTGGCAATGACGTGTCTGGCCCGATCCGTGGATTTGTCCCCCGCGCGCCAGATCCGCAGATCCGTAATCCATGTTAGCGTGCGTCCGAGAGGGGGACTCAGCTTCACGTCGGAAGCAAGATGCATAGTCATGCATGTTCGGGGGAGAAGGGTTTAAAACAAGCACACCCTTCTTTCATAATCAAAGTTTCGTTTGATTTGAGGGCCAGTGTTTCCCCGGGCCAGTTCTTTTCCAGGGCCCGCCTTGTGGGGCATCTTCAAAACATTTCCATTGAAAAACTGGTTGGTTGGTGGGTTGGTTGGCCGATTGGTTTGCTGATTCCCACGTCCAGCAATTTTTGCCTGGGAGATTGGTGCGTTGGTCGGCGGGTGGGTTGCCCGGTTGTCTGATTGGCTGCTTGGCCATGTTTCCGTTTGCCTGGGAATGGTTGGTCGGTTGGTCGGTTGGCTGGCTCGCTAGATGCCAGGTCGAATCATGTTTGCCAGAAGTTGGTTGCTCGGTTGGTTGGTTGGTTGGTTGGGTGGCTGGGTGGCCTGTTACCCGCTTGCCCAGGTGTTCGGCCCGCTCTCCCCTCCACTCCCCCTTCCCTCCTCCCCCGTCCTCACTCCTCTTCTTCCCTCTCTTCTCTATACCTTCCTCCCTTCTGCACCCTCCCTGTCCTCCTCCTCCTCTTCCTCCTCCTCTTCCCCTTCGCCCGCAATTTGGCTGCAGCGCAATGTATTGCAACTTCAATGCACATGCAACGCAGCGCAATGCAATGCAACGCAACATGATGCAATGCAATGCAACGCTATACAGTGCAATGCAAACGCAAGGCAACGCAACGCAATGCTATGCAACTGGATGTAATGCAATGCCGCGCAACACCATGCAATGCACCGCAGGTCAGTGCAATACAATATCACGCAATGCAATGCAATGCACTGCATGCAATGTACTGTAACGGAATGTGCGTCTCGTCGCGTGGCAGCGCCGCGGGGCCGAAAAACATACAAAGACAGATTGACGTGTACGTCAGAGCGGGCTGAGCGTGGCCGAGCCCGAACAACACCCATATCCCTGGCGTGATCATCTGTCTCGTGACGCGATCCCCAAGAGCCCTCGACCTCCGCCCTGGGGGGGGCTTCTCATCCCGCGTCGCTCTTCTTTCAGGGGCGGCCTGACCGACCACCAGCAAACCATCCCCATCAGTGGGACGTCCCCCCCCTCCTCACCCCAAGGCGTGCGTATGCGGCCAGAGGGAGGCCTGGAGGGTGCGGGGGACGTCGCGGAACGTGCTCGTCACGGACGGGGTCGGTTAGGCCGCGCCCGATTCTTGACGGATCTGGGGCTCTGCAACGACCCCTGCTGGAGCAAATCGGCGTCGTCTCCCGTGGCGCGATCTTCTCGGGTCGCGGCGCCCCAACTGGGGGCAGCGCGGGAATGGGGCGGCCTTTGATGAATCAGGCGGAGAAGCCTTCCGAGAAAGCAGGGGCCGCCTCAGGAGGGCCCGGCGGCTTCCAGGGAGGTTTCTTAGAAGCCGGCAGGCCCCTTCTAGGAAGGGCTTGCCTTCTAAGAGGCCCCTCCGCCATCTTGGAAGGCTGTCCTCCCCCGCGCGCGACCCCCGCGTGGGCTCCGCCGGTTCGTGATCGCCAGGAGGTCAGCGCAGCTCTCGTCCTGGGACGGACGTCTCCTGGGCTTCTGGGCGCAGGCTGAGTCTGGGTTTGCAGTCTCCTGCGCCCAGGCCCCGGGAGGTGATCATCGCATTCTTCGATTCCTGCAACACGAAGATGGACTTGCCGGAGACACATCTGGTGCCCGCGCCTTTTCCTTGCGCTTTTCTGCTACCTCATGCATGCCTTGCTCCGCCTTGGTGGGCCCATGCTGCTGTGTTGGGTAGTGGTGTATACATTTTCACACGCACCTCTCCCATGGACTTCAGCTCAGAGGCGATCATTGGCGGTCCCGTCCGCGTTGTTTCTGGCCGTTTTGCTCGGGCAGCCTGAGCTGTATCTCCCCATGGGGGCGCGGCACGTTCTCCGCACGTTCTCTTGCCAGCTTGCGCGCAGCCTTCAAGGCGCGCGCGTGTCTGGGGGGGGGGCCTCCTGGTTGACAGGGCGGGCTCTGGCCCCCGAGCGGTGGGCGCAGACACCTTGGCTCGGAGGATCGGCCCTCCGTCTCGCGCTTTGGAACCATATATTTGGGCCCCAGAAGGCAGTTTGAAGTGAAACGACGAGAAGCCCAGATCGCTTCCTATATGTATGGGTGGATTTGAGCGTGCTGTGGGCGTCGCTGAAAAGCACCGTGGCCACTCGGGGCCGTCCTTGACGGGGGGTTACTTATCGGGGCCTCCTGGAGGCAGAGCGGCGGCCATTTTGAGCCATGTTGGGCTATTTGACCAAGGTTTCCCCCGAGATGCTGGTTTTGACCAAGGTTGACCAAAATTGTTGAAAAACAATGGTTTCTCAACAATTTTGGCTTTCAGCGAAGGGTAGTCCTTCATTCACCCCGCTCCAGTGGATCTTCCAAATTGCCTGGTGGGGCCGTTCTTAGGCGCTCCTGGGGCTGTCTCGGAACCCGACACTTCCTGGCGCTCGCATGCGCCGTCTTTGTTCCGCAATCAGTGCTTGCACTGAAGGGCTCCTAGCGGAGATTGAAAGATTTGGCAAGAAGTTCCGGGCCGATTTCGGTAGGCGGCCGGGTTCCCTGGTTCCCGGTTCCAGGTTCCCGGGTTCCCAGTTTCTGGTTCCGGGCCGATTTCGGTGGGCGGCGGGGTTCGTTGGGGTTCCAATTTTTGGGTCCCGGGCTCCGTGGTTCCCGGTCGATCTCACTATCGATGTCATTATCGATCTCACCATCCATCTCATTCAATCGATCTCACTATCGATCTCACTACCGATATCACGATTGATATCACGATCGATCTCACTATCGATCTCACTGTCGATCACACTATTCATATCTCCATCGATCTCACCATCGATCTCACGATCGATCTCCCACGATCGATCTCACGATCGCTCTCACTAACGAAACTACTGGTCTAACTATCGATGTCATCATCGATGTCACTATGGATCTCACGATCGATACCACTATTAATATTCCTATCGGCCTCACGACTGATCTAACTCAATCGATACCACTATCGAACACATGCTCGATCTCGCGATCGATTTCACTATCGATCCCACTCAATCGATATCACTATCCATCTCACTATCGATCACACTATCGATCCTGGTACCGATTTCACAGTCGATCTCACTCAATCGACCTCACTACCAATCTCACTATCGATCTCACGATCGATCTCACTCTCGATCTCATTTAATGGATCTCAGTATCGATCGCGCTATCGATCTCAATATCGCTAGCCTGACAGTGCATGGTATATAACATAGCACGGGACACCCGCGCGCCACGGGACACCACGAGACACCATCGGGACTCTTTCGGGACTCTTTCGGGACACCAACGGGACACCATCTGCACACCACAGGGCCACTGTTGGCCAACACGGGGGAGCAACGTTTGGTTCGGTTTCCCCTGGCAACGGCGAGTTCATTCCTCTCGCCCGCCCACGCAGCTTCGCCTCGCCCGCACGCGCGACACGAACGTGCATCCGAAACCAATATCACTGGGGGGGCTTCACTTCACTGTGATGTCACCCCCGAACCTCCGATTTGTATAGAGAGAGGGTGAGAGAGAGGGAGAGAGAGAAGACAAGAGAAAGTGAGAGAGAACCGAACAAGTATGGTAAATAACAATGAGGGAGGCGGAGTAGAGAGAGAGAGAGAGAGAGAGCGGGAGATACACACATACACACACACATATATATATATATATATATATATATATATGTAAATCCCGGGGGACAGGGACACGGGGGCCCGGCCCAGCAGTCTTGGTCCTCCATGGGGGTGCCGGGCCGCCCAAACAGGCCCGCATGCTTTTTTGGGGCCCGGGAACCGGCCAAGACGGCCCCCCAACGGCCCCGAATCGATCAAAGACCGCTCTTAGATGCCCAAGACGGCCCCAAGACAGCCCGAGAGGCCTCCAAGACGGCCCAAGAGGCCTCGAAGAAGCGCCCCAAGAAGGCTCCAAGAGGCCAAAACCTTTGATTCTCCATAGGAAAACGTACATTTTTGGATACATGATTTTCCGGCCTTCACGGCGTTGAAGACGGTCCAAGAGGCCCCCGAAACCGCCCAGAGAAGGCTTAAAAAGCTCCCAAGAGGCGCCCAAGACGGCCCAACCCCCAGAGGCCCCCAAGAGGCCCAAAAGAAGCCCCAGAGGGTCCAACACGGCGTC